GGGGGAGGGAAGGGCCCGCCAAGCGCGCCACTGTGTCTTCCCGCGGGGGGCAGAGCGGCCCCTCAGGATTGCCCCCCTCCGCAGCCCCTGGAGCTGCGGGCCCCTCCGGGGGAAGAGCCACTGGGTGAGCCGCAGCAGCCAGGGCTCCCCCTCCCCCCACTGGACTCCCCCAGAAAGAGAAAGCCCTGATTTCCATCCCCCTTCTTTGCCCGTTGGCCTGGCGGATGAGGCCAGACACCCCCTGCCGGGCACAGGCCTCCCCCCTCCTCGGCCCGCAGCAGCAGCCCCGCTGGAGAGGAAGCCGCGACCCAGAGGCAAGAGCTGCACTCGGAGGGCAGGAAAGTTTGGGCTGGCCCCAGGCCTGCGCCAGGGCCAGTGTACTAACAACATTCTTGCTGTCCTGATGACTGGATCTCAAAAACAGGACAGCTTACGTGCAGGTGCATTTTTTCTGCTTGCCTTGACTCTACTTGAGCCAAATCCCATTTAGTAAAGGTAAAGGCTTCCCTTGCTCGAAAGCCAGTTGTGCTCATCTCCGTTTTGAAGCCAAAGAGCCAGCGCTGTCCGGAGACGTTTCCGTGGTCATGTGGCCAGCATGACTAAACACCAAGGCGCACGGAACGCTGTGACCTTCCCACTGAGGTGGTACCTGTTTATCTACTTGCAATTTCTTGCTTTTGAACTGCTAGGTTGGCAGGAGCCGGGGCCAGAGACGGGAGCTCACTCCATCATGTGGCACCCGGGTCTCAAACTGCTGAACTACCGACCTTCCACAGCCTGCAGTTCAGCGTCTTAACCCCTTGAGCCACCGCAGCCCCAAATCCTGTTTAGAGTGGTCCTTTTGTTTCAAAGACTGTAAGGTTTTCAATCAAACTTTATTGCTGTATGACATTTTTAATTTTTTTTAACCTTTTTTAAGCAGTCAGATTGTAAGGTTTGTGGGGCAGATCCAAGCCTGGATAGGAGCAGGAAACAGAATGGAGGTAGCTGCCCCAAATATGGGTGGTATAGATTCTATGAAAGGAAATTGGATATGGGAATAGTGACAAACTGTTGTAGCAAAAGACTATTGTTAGATTTGGGGTTTCCCCCCCCCCCCATGATTAATTATCTGAATGCTATTTTTAAGTATGGCCATTCCTTCCTAGAAACTTCCAGATGCTGCTGTTTCAGGAGCCCCAAACCTTGCTGGGCTTGTAGGCACATTTGTATTTGAGAACAAGTAGTGGGTGCAACTATACATAAAATGGTTGCCAAGGACAGTGTGTAGCCAACCACAAAATGTTAGGGCTGAGGCCAGTCACCAAAATGTTGAGAGGTTCCAAATCATGCATTCTCCTATGTTGGACACCGCTCTTTTTCCTGAGTAAGTGCTTTATGGAGACACAAATGTGGTACCTCCTCCTGGGTTCTAAAAAAATCAATTTTTTTTCTGAAATATCTCTTGCTTCACTGAGGTAGTGGGAAGTCAAAACTGGCTGTTTGCTTTAGGGAAGGAGCAAGCGGGCACCCGGAAATATGGTACTGGGCATTAAGAGGCAACCTCAGAGGAAGGCCGTGGCCTCTCTGTGCCCCCTTGGTGGCCCCACAGGGCAGCTGGTTGGCTATTACTGGACTAGGCGGGACCACAGCGGGTCTGATCCAGCAGGGCTGTCATGGTGCTGACATGGTCCTCATGTTGAGCTTCACTTGTCTGTTCACTCCCAGCTATCATGGCTGAATCAGGTGTGGTCCTGCTTCCTTCAGCATTTTGTTTCGTGCTGGGCAGAGAGTTTACCTCCCTTCATATGCACTTTATTCCTTTTTTTTTTTGTAAAAAAAATCACTCCTCCAATTGCTGCTTTGCATGTTACTAGTGGATGCATGAACAAAATACTCCATCTTCAGTTTTGCTGTCATTTAAAGTGGACTGTGGAGAAGCACCAGATCTTTAATAGGGCAATTAGTTTTAGGGGCTAGCTTTATGTTCTAACTCCTGCCTAGCACTGGCTGTATCAGTCAATTCAGGCTCTTCCAAGACTTCCATTACCTTCTCTGTGCAAGAGCTTGAGGTCAACTGGCTTATTGTTACTCAGCTTCAGGGGTTGGCTTAACTTTTCCTGGAAGAATCCATGCAATTGGTGCCTTTATTATGTCTCAGGCCCATGATGCTGGCAGGCAACTTACCCACTCAACATTGTACATGCCTGGCATCTTTTTATGTTTTGGGATTGAATCATTCCTGATTGAATCACCCCGGGGGACTGGCTGAGCTTGGAGCACAAGAGCAATAGCCTACCAGGATTCTGACAGTAACCAGTCTAGTAGTAATGTTATGTAAATAGCCTATCACTGGGAGTGGGGTTTGTTTAGGTGTGGCAATTACAAGCTTTTTAACAGAGCTGAGTCTCTGGAGTCTTGTCTTGCTCGTGCTGAAATCACAAATAAAGTAGAGCTGATCACTAGACTCAAGCCTGCTCATCCATGGAACCCACCATTTAACAGTGGTGACGAAGGCGGGATCCTGTTGAGCCAGCCCAGAGCCCATCTGCACTGCTCCGTGCATCGAGCTCCAGTGCCAAGTGCATCACATCACAACCAGGACCATGGCTGCTGCTCCAGGACATCTGCCGACATTTGATCTCACTCACCTAGAGCTTTGGGACACCTGGGTGGAGCAGCTCAAGTACTTTGTACTGTTCCAGGGCATCGAAGGCGAGGAGAAGAAGGCGGCTCTCCTGCGCAGTTCCTGTGGGGTCGCAACCTTGAGGGTAGTCCAGGGCCTCATCGCTCCCACCTCAAATCGAGGCGGTCACTTACGACACATTCATCAAGGCGCTCACCAACCATTTCGTGCCTCAGCCAACCAAGATGGCATGCCGCGTGGACTTCTACATGTGCCAGCAAAAGTCCAACAAGACGGCTGCCGACTTCATGGCGGACCTTCACAGATTGGCCCTCACATGTGAGTTCCCGAGCCTCAGTTATGTCCTCCTCAACCGGTTCGTGATGGGCATCCAAGAGGAGAAACTCCGCCAAAAGCTCATCAGCCAGAGGGACTCACCCTTGCAAAGGCACTATGCGAGGCCGCCATTTTCGAGAAATCCCAGTGAGACCGCCAGACCTCCACCGTGCACCAGGCCTCCATCCCCTTGGCTTCTGAGGCATCAGACGAAGAAGAGGCCCATCAGGTTCACTGCCCAGCTCGCCACAACTCATGGCCTTCTGCCACTTGCCCAGCAGAAACCGTCACACCGACTGCCTGCGCCAGCTGTGGAGAAGCCCACGAACGTCGCTCCTGCCATTTCTAAGATGCAACATGCAGGACCTGTGGCAAGAGAGGCCACATCGTGCACACCTGCCGCTCCAAGGGAGCCTAGAGACAGAAAGCCATGCACCAGGAATCCGCAGATCTGCATACCACCGCCATCCACCAGCATCAGGTACTGAATTTGCCCCGGGACACCCCTGATACAATTTAAGTGACTGTGTTAATAGAAGGGGTACCTTGCAAGATGGAACTGGACACGGGGTCATCCACCTCCATCATCTCGGAAGAGACTCTCCGGAGGCTCTGTCTACAGGGGGTCCCTGCCTTAGACCCGCCGTGTCCACCCTCCAGGACTTTCAAAAGAATGAGGTGGCCATTAAGGGGTGGGGCTAATTCCACGTGAAATACAGACAGTTTGAGGGAATATTGGACTTGTTGGCGGTGGAAGGACGGCTCACCAGCTTACTTGGACTATCTTGGTTTACGTCCTTGGGGTTCAGAGTAACGGGTGCACCACGTGCAGCCCTCAAACTTCAGTAATGTGTGTGACGAGTTTCCTACCGTCTTCAATGGGACACTTGGCCGGTACACAGGTGCCCCGCTATCACTCCAACTCAACTCTGAGGTGCGGCCATCTGCCTCAAGGCCCAGAGAGTTCTGCTCACACTCAAGCCCAAAATTGAGGCAGAACTGGACTGTTTGGTGGCACAAGGTGTTTTAGAGCCAGTTCCCCATACCACCTGGGAGACCCCCATCGTAACCCCAATTAAGCCAAACTGGGATGTCCGCATCTGCGCAGACTACAAATGTACAATCAACAAGGCACCGAGTGACCACGTGTAACTGGTGCCTGCGGTCAGCCATGTCCTAGTGACATTGGTGGGGGCCAAGGTCTTTGGTAAATTGGACTTGGCCCAAGCATACCAAAAGCTCCCAGTGGGCGAGCCGACTGCTGAGGCACAGACCATCATCACGCACTTGGGTGCTTTCAGAGTTAAGCGGCTGAAGTTTGGGGTAAGCATGGCCCCTGGAATCTTCCAGAACTTAATAGACTCTTTCTTGAAAGGCATCCCTGGGGTCAGACCCTTCTTCGATGATGTAGTAATCACCACCCCCATGGAAGAGGACTTTGCCACCCACCTACGCACCATGCTGCAGTGATTCGACTCCGCCAGGCTAAAGGTGAAGCAGGAGAAATGCCTCCTGGGAGTCCCCCGTGTAGAATTCCTGGGGTTCTCCGTGGACACGGATGGCATCCACAAGGACAAGGCTCACACCATCACGAATGCACCTGCTCCCACATCCAAGGCCAAGTTGCAGGCTTTCTTGGGGCTTCTAAACATTTACCACTCCTTCCTGCCCCACAAAGCTGCACTTGCGGAGCCCCTCCACCGCCTGCTCAACAAGAAGGCCCTGTGGGTGTGGGGCCAGTGGCAGGCCACTGCTTTCCGGGCCGTGAAGGAGCTACTCACATTGAACGACATCCTCACGCAATTTGACGAGACACTGCTGGTTGTCTTGGCGTGCGATGCTTCTCCTTACAGCGTTGGTGCAGTCTTGAGCCATCAGTTGCCGGAGGGAAGGGAGGTGCCAGTGGCCTACTATTCCCAGACCCTGTCGTCAGCCAGATGGAAATATTCCCAGATCGACAAAGAGGCCCTTGCAATCATGGGGGGAGTAAAAAAGTTCCACGATGACCTGTATGGCCACCCCTTCACCATCGCAACTGATCACAAGCCCCTGCTTGGTCTCCTTGCCCCTGACCGTCAAACGCCACAGATGCTGTTGCCCAGGGTCCTGCGCTGGTCCATTTTTCTGGGGAGTTACCAATATGCCCTATAGTACTGGCCAGGAAAGTCCATGGGACACACAGATGCTCTCAGCTACCTCCCACTGAGCTTTGTCAACTTGCATCCGGCCCCTGCACACCAAACCCTCACGATGAAGGACCTGCCGGACCACCCTCTGCATGCCGCAGACATTTCTCGCCACACCGCCAGGGATCGTGTCCTCTCCCACGTTTTGGATTGGGTGGGGAGGGGATGGCCCATGAATTGGGTGAGCCCAGAATTCACAGTGTTTGCATCCCACCAGGATGAGCTCTCAGCGCACAAGGGGTGCCTCCTATGGGGTAGCCAGGTAGTTATTCCCCCATCGCTGCGTAAATGGGTTTTGGAAACCCTGCATGAGACCCACCCTGGAATCGTGAGGATGAAAGCGCTGGCCAGGAGCTATGTGTGGTGGCCAGGAATGGACGGCGAGATTGAGGCCTGGGTACAGCATTGCCAGGCCTGCCAGGAGACGCTGCTTGAACCTCCAAGGGCTCCCCTCCACCAGTGGGAGTCTACCCACATGCCATGGACACGGGTGCATTTGGACTTTGCCAGCCCATTCCAGGGGCAGTTGTTCTTCCTCCTGGTGGACTCCTGCACCAAGTGGCTGGAAGTCGTGCCAGTCACCTTGACCTCATCCCATGCAGCTATCCGGGCCCTGAGACAGATTTTTAGTGCACATGGTCTTCCGGACATGGTCATGACCGATAACGGCATCGCCTTAACCTCTGGAGAGTTCAAGGAGTTCTTAGACCAGAACCTCATCAGGCACATGCGGTCCGCTCCGTTCCACCCGGCTACCAACGGACAAGCTGAGTGGATAGTGAAGGCAACCGAGGACGCGCTAACGTGGCTCACCCATAGGGACTGGAACCCATGGCTGGTGGTCTTTTTGTTCAGCCATTGAGTGACTCCGAGTGCATCCACTGGCCGCAGCCCTGCAGAAGTATTAATGGGTCGCCGCCTCATGACGCAGCTGGACTGCCTGCACCCAGACTGAGCCCCAGAGTTGCGCCACACTCTGGTGAGCCAGGAGGCCCCCAGAGGGTTCTTTCCAGGGGACACTGTCTTTGTGAGGAACTATTTCAGTGGCCCCGCATGAATCCTGTCAAGGGTTACCTGTGTGACCGGACCCCTATCGTATGAGGTATCGATGGATGGGGGCCAGCTACTACGCAGACACATCGACCAGCTCCGCCGTCACCTACTGCCCATGGAGCTGGAACTGTCTTCCACCAAGGAGGAGGAGGATGGCCTGGAATCACCACCGCCACTGTGGCAGACCAAGAACGCCCCCCCCCCCCAGACAACAGCATGCAGCCAGATGGCCGGGAAGAGGAAGGTACTGCACCGGCTGCTCCGGACCTCCCGGATTCTGTTCCCGACTCGCAGGACTCCAGTGTGGTCCTGCTTCACCAAGCACGGCTCCAGAGTTGGTTCACAGAGGGAATGTCACAAGCCAGTGTACCTTGAAGACTATGTCTGTTAAGGTGCTTTGGAACTTAGGGGGGAGGGGTGTTATGTATTGGGATTGAATCATTCCTGATTGAATCACCTCAGAGACTGGCTGAGCTTGGAGCATAAGAACAATAGCCTGCCAGGATTCTGAAAGTAACCAATCTAGTAGTAATGTTCTGTAAACAGCCTATCACTGGGAGTGGGGCATGTTTGGGTGTGGCAATTGCATGCTATTTAACAGAGCTGAGGCTCAGGAGTCTTGTCTTGTGCTTGCCGAAATTACCAATAAAGTAGAACGGATCACTAGGCTTGTGGCCTGCTCATCCATGGAACCCACTATTTAACACATCTCATTTAAACAGTGTCCTCAGCTACTACACTAACAGTGATAGTACTCCAGAGATCTGTAGCAGATATGGGCATACTTGCATGTGAATGATGCACATGTAGACATGCTGGGAACATGCAACGTCACGCAGTTAAGATCATATTGCTAACTAGTTAAATGTTGAGGTTAAACCTTAGTTCTTGTTCAAAGAAGGAACTGCTGTCAGTGTAGTGTCTGTTAAAGGGAGAAAATGTGCAAAATAATTCTTCTAAAATGCATTCCTTTCCCCTCCATCCTCTTAGGTAGAAAAGCAGGGTTTGGACAAAAACTTCAACCTCGACTCGATGGATGGTGTGCCAACAGCCAGCACTGAGCAGTGGAGTGAAGCTTCAGATGCCGAGCGGCTGAGAGACAACCTGAAGGCTTATTGGGCATTTCAGATCTTGCTGAATGAGATCCTGGAAGAGCAGAGGTCCTCCTTGACCCCAAACGATTTAGACTTCCATGAGTCTATCCAGTCAGTCCTGCTCCAGGTCTCTGCCTTGGCTTACCAACTGGAAGAGCTGATGGTGATGTTGGAGCACAATGTGCCAGCCAGAGAGCTGGAAGGGGCCCGGGATGCTCATGGAAGAGGCTTGTTTGAGAAGAAGCTGAGAGGCATGAAGGTGCTGCAGGAGCTTGCTCAGTGGTCTGTCAGGTCTGTCCGGGATCTACACCAGCTTTCCAGGCCTGTCCAGACAGGAGACATCCCACATGCAAGCTGCTGCTTGGCTCTGAAGAAGTAAGGCCTTTCTTCTCTGTTAGATTTTTACTTTCTCAAAGGCCTTTCCTGTCCTCCGCTGTGGTGGACTAGAAGGACATGGTAAGAACAGAAGGAACCCTCTGTGATGGCTGAAGTGGGCAGTGCTTTCTGGATGTTATTTATTTCCTTCTGCACCATCCTGAGACTTGAGTCCCTGGCAGGTTTAACTTTGTATAGATTTCTACCATCATGCTTTTTCATGTGATGGTCAGTTGATTTTTGATTATTAATCGGCTAACACTATTTTCTTATTTTCACCTCAGTGCTCAAGATGAGTTGCAGATAGGTTTGCCAACCTCCAGGTAACACCCGAAGATCCCCCGCTATGACAGTTAATCTCCAGACAACCAAAGTCAGTTTCCCTGGAGAAAATGGCTGCTTTGGAGGGTGGACTCTATGGAATAATAACCTGCTGAGGCCCCTCCCCTCCCCAGACTCCACCCCCAAAATCTCCAGGTATTCCCTAACTCAGAGCTGGCAACCCTGGTTGCAGCAGATCCTTGACGCTAACTTGTCATCGTTTTAAATGGAACGGCGGTGAGTCACCCACACAGGCTCAAAGGTGAACAGCCACCTATTTCCAGTCTCTAAACTCATTGCAGTTTGTTGCACCCCATGGTGTACTGTGATAGCTATAGCTACAGGTAGTTTACATTAAAATAAATGTCTAGTGGAAGGAATGCTTGACCTACATTAACCCAACTGATGGGCATATTTAACTGAAGTGAAATTATAGGCTGGGTCTTAAATCAGGATGCTCAGGTACTGACACTCAGTGGTATCACAGATATCCATTGTGTCTGAGGCAATGATACATTTTCATGGCCTTCAAATTGGATAAGGTCAAGTGGCTTAGGAGGCCTGATGGATCTCTACCTGTTGGGGGGAGAGCATGAATAGATCCATGGGGGGATTTTCCATTTACATG